ATGGTGCAGGATCTGGATCTGGGGCAGGAACCGGAGGCTACAGTCAAGGAACAGGTCAAGGTTACGGTACTGGTTCTGGATCAGCTGGAGCATATTCAGTTGGAACTGCATCAGCCAGTGGAGCAGCATCATCCCAAATTTCACAAACCCAGAATGTAGTTACGACTACTCAAACAGAAAATGTAATTTCTAGAGCAGGTAGTGCAGGCAGTGCTGCAGCCTCAGCAGGAGCAGGAGGTTATGGACAAGCAGCAGGTCAAGGATATGGATCTGGAGCAGGATCTGGAGCTGGAGCAGCAGCAGGTTATGGACAAGGAGCAGGTCAAGGATATGGTGCTGGTGCCGGATCTGGCGCCGGTGCAGGAGCTGCAGCCGGAGCAGGAGCAGCTGGAGGCTATGGACAAGGTGCAGGTCAAGGATATGGTGCTGGTGCAGGATCTGGAGCCGGTGCAGGAGCAGGATCTGCAGGAGGATACGGACAAGGAGCAGGTCAAGGATCTGGAGCAGGTGCTGGTTATGGACAAGGAGCTGGTCAAGGATATGGTGCTGGTGCAGGATCTGGGGCAGGTGCAGGAGCCGCAGCTGCAGCAGGTGCAGGAGCAGCAGGAGGTTATGGACAAGGATCAGGTCAAGGATATGGTACTGGCGCAGGGTCTGGAGCCGGTGCAGGAGCTGGAGCTGGAGCAGGTGCAGGAGGAGGTGCTGGTTACGGACAAGGAGCTGGCCAAGGATATGGTGCTGGAGCCGGATCTGGGGCAGGTGCAGGAGGAGCTGGAGGCTATGGTCAAGGATATGGTGCTGGAGCAGGTGCAGGATCTGGAGCCGGTGCAGGAGCAGCTTCAGCAGCAGGTGCCGGAGCAGGAGCAGCGGGTGGTTATGGACAAGGAGCAGGTCAAGGATATGGTGCTGGAGCAGGAGCCGGATCTGGAGCCGGGGCAGCAGCAGGAGCAGGTGCAGGATCAGGATCAGGAAGCGGTGCTGGCTATGGACAAGGAGCTGGTCAAGGATATGGCGCCGGATCTGGAGCCGGTGCAGGAACAGCTTCTGCAGCCGGTGCGGGAGCAGGAGCAATGGGTGGTTATGGACAAGGAGCAGGTCAAGGATATGGTGCTGGATCTGGGGCTGGTGCAGGAGCAGCAGCAGGCGCAGGAGGAGCTGGAGGTTATGGACAAGGAGCAGGTCAAGGATATGGTGCAGGTGCTGGATCTGGAGCCGGAGCAGGATCTGGAGCTGGTGCTGGCTATGGACAAGGAGCTGGTCAAGGATATGGTGCTGGCGCTGGATCTGGAGCTGGTGCAGGAGCAGCAGCGGGAGCAGGTGCAGGAAGAGGAGCTGGCTCTGGACAGGGAGCTGGTCAAGGATATGGAGCTGGAGCAGGATCTGGTGCTGGTGCTGCAGCAGGATCTGGAGCTGGTGCAGGAGCTGGAGCAGGAAGAGGTGCTGGCTATGGACAAGGAGCTGGTCAAGGATATGGCGCTGGCGCAGGATCTGGAGCCGGTGCAGGAGCAGCTGCTGCAGCAGGTGCCGGAGCAGGAGCAGCGGGTGGTTATGGACAAGGAGCAGGTCAAGGATATGGTGCTGGTGCAGGATCTGGTGCCGGAGCAGGAGCAGCAGCTGCAGCAGGTGCAGGGGCAGGATCTGCTGGAGGTTATGGACAAGGAGCAGGTCAAGGATATGGTGCTGGAGCAGGATCTGGGGCAGGTGCGGGAGCAGCATCTGCAGCAGGCGCTGGAGGAGCTGGAGGTTATGGACAAGGAGCAGGTCAAGGATATGGTGCTGGTGCAGGATCTGGAGCTGGTGCTGGAGCAGGATCTGGAACTGGAGCAGGTGCAGGAAGAGGTGCTGGTTATGGACAAGGAGCTGGTCAAGGATATGGTGCTGGTGCAGGATCTGGAGCCGGTGCAGGAGCAGCTTCTGCAGCAGGGGCCGGAGCTGGAGCAGCAGCTGGAGCAGGAGCAGGAAGTGGTGCTGGCTATGGTCAAGGAGCTGGTCAAGGATATGGAGCTGGTGCAGGATCTGGTGCTGGTGCAGGATCTGGAGCCGGTGCAGGAGCAGCTTCTGCAGCAGGGGCCGGAGCTGGAGCAGCAGCTGGAGCAGGAGCAGGAAGTGGTGCTGGTTATGGACAAGGAGCTGATCAAGGATATGGTGCTGGTGCAGGATCTGGAGCCGGTGCAGGAGCAGCAGCTGCAGCAGGAGCTGGAGCAGGATCTGCTGGAGGTTATGGACAAGGAGCAGGTCAAGGATATGGAGCTGGAGCAGGAGCAGGATCTGGGGCAGATGCGGGAGCAGCATCTGCAGCAGGCGCTGGAGGAGCTGGAGGTTATGGACAAGGAGCAGGTCAAGGATATGGTGCTGGTGCAGGATCTGGAACTGGTGCTGGAGCAGGATCTGGAGCTGGAGCAGGTGCAGGAAGAGGTGCTGGTTATGGACAAGGAGCTGGTCAAGGATATGGTGCTGGTGCAGGATCTGGAGCCGGTGCAGGAGCAGCAGCTGGAGCAGGCGCAGGAGCAGGAAGTGGTACTGGCTATGGACAAGGAGCTGGTCAAGGATATGGTGCTGGAGCAGGATCCGGTGCTGGTGCTGGTGCAGGATCTGGAGCTGGTTCTGGAGCTGGAGCAGGTGCAGGAGCTGTTGGAGGATATGGACAAGGAGCAGGTCAAGGATCTGGTGTAGGTGCTGGATCTGGTGCCGGAGCAGGATCTGGAGCTGGTGCAGGAGGCGGAGCAGGTGTAGGAAGAGGAGCTGGCTATGGACAAGGAGCTGGTCAAGGATATGGTGCTGGTGCAGGATCTGGAGCCGGTGCAGGAGCAGCAGCCGGAGCAGGCGCAGGAGCAGGAAGTGGTGCTGGCTATGGACAAGGAGCTGGTCAAGGATATGGTGCTGGAGCAGGATCCGGTGCTGGTGCTGGTGCAGGATCTGGAGCTGGTTCTGGAGCTGGAGCAGGTGCAGGAAGAGGAGCTGGCTATGGACAAGGAGCTGGTCAAGGATATGGCGCTGGTGCTGGAGCAGGTGCAGGAGCTGCTGGAGGATATGGACAAGGAGCAGGTCAAGGATCTGGTTCTGGTGCTGGATCTGGGGCAGGTGCAGGAGCAGGAAGTGGTGCTGGTTATGGACAAGGAGCAGGTCAAGGATATGGTGCAGGATCAGGGGCTGGTGCAGGAGCAGCAGCTGCAGCAGGCGCAGGAGGAGCTGGTGGTTATGGACAAGGAGCAGGTCAAGGATATGGTGCAGGTGCTGGATCTGGTGCCGGAGCAGGATCTGGAGCTGGTGCAGGAGGTGGAGCAGATGTAGGAAGAGGAGCTGGCTATGGACAAGGAGCTGGTCAAGGATATGGTGCTGGTGCAGGATCTGGAGCCAGTGCAGGAGCAGCAGCCGGAGCAGGTGCAGGAGCAGGAAATGGTGCTGGCTATGGACAAGGAGCTGGTCAAGGATATGGAGCTGGAGCAGGATCTGGTGCTGGTGCTGCAGCAGGATCTGGAGCTGGTGCAGGTGCTGGAGCAGGAAGAGGTGCTGGCTATGGACAAGGAGCTGGCCAAGGATATGGCGCTGGTGCAGGATCTGGAGCTGGTGCTGGAGCAGGTGCAGGAGCTGCAGGAGGATATGGACAAGGAGCAGGTCAAGGATCTGGTTCTGGTGCTGGATCTGGGGCAGGTGCAGGAGCAGCGGGTGGCTATGGACAAGGAGCTGGTCAAGGATATGGCGCTGGTGCTGGTTCTGGAGCTGGAGCAGGATCTGGAGCTGGATCAGGATCTGGAGCAGGAAGTGGTGCTGGTTATGGACAAGGAGTTGGCCAAGGATATGGTGCTGGTGCAGGATCTGGTAAAGGATAAAACATTGAAGGATAAACTTATCTCCCACTAGAAGAAAGTTTTCCAAAACGCGTAAAAAGTAGATAGGGCGGAATGTTTAGTATCACAGTCATTTTAATTTAAAAAAAAGAGTTATGATTTTAAATAACTTTCGAAAAAATTAGAATTTCGGAAATACTTGTTACATTTATGAAAAGAAAAATTTCTCTTTCAGCACGCCAAATATGTATTTCCATATTTTCATTTCTGGGAGATGCAAAGTGCCCCGTAGATTTTTTTTTACTAGAACTTTTTTTACCACAATTTTAAAAATTACTAGTTCTCGAATAATTCGAAGTTATCGAATGTTAAATGTTTTTTTTTTCATAGTACTTATCGTACACTTTTCTTCGCACCTCCAGAATTTAAAGTTATTTTGAATGGTCTGAATTGGAAAAAAAAGCTTACCTAAAGCCTTCAAAAAGTTTACTTTTTAAGTTTGATTTTCAAGACTATTGTTTTCTATTAACTTCAAGATTAATTAAATCAGCCTCCATCACTCGATTCTTGAATTTTTATAAAGTTTACTGACATAATTGAAATAAAGTTAAACGCACAAAATATATCTAGAACTTTAAAATATTTGTTTTTATTTTTTATTTATTTTGGCACCCTAAACATAATAATATAATGTATGCATACAGTATGTATATACATGCATATATATAACATGCATATATATACATGCATACATATACGTGCATAAATATAACATTTACGAAATTATTAATGACCCATCAAGGGGAAATCGGAGTTCAAAGGTCACAAGCAGATCGTAGATTGCTAAAAGTCTTTACTCTTACCTACCCTTTGTACTTTATTCTGCACGCTTTTCATATTCTCAAATTTCTAAGTTTTGGGAATCGAAACAAACTATACACAGACATCAACTGCTATGCTTTCAGCAAAAGATTATATCGAATAGTTGCGAATCAATATCTAAAACATACTTAACTGCGTATATTTCTGTCACTACTTTAAAAGGCTCATTAACAGATAATTCAAGATGATGGTTGATGAAGAGGACCTGTGCTACTCGTTTTTATCCTCTGTGCTTTGAGTTGAATTCAGAGATTGCATGAGGTAATAGTAATAATTTACAAAAATAGCAAAGCTATGGAACGGGGCACCTAGGCCGAAAAGCAGCCCCTTTCCTATTCGTGATGAATTTGTTTTAAAGTTTTTCTTTAATTTTTTTTTTAACGCTGTGTGTGTTTGATGAATAAGTAGTTCGAGCACTTTGCTCGAAAAAGATTAAGATAATTGGAAATGATAATAAGCAGCTTGCTCGAGGAAATATTAAATATTCAAAAGTTAAAAAAAAACGGTAGAGAATTTTAAATTAAAATTTGCAGATTTTTGAATAATTTTGCCTGCCTCCTTTTTAAAAGGCTCAACACGACTTAACTGAAACAAAATGGCGTATCACAAAAGCCTATGATTTATTTAGTAGTTGGTAGAAACAAGTTCATAGATCGAATTTACTAAATCAAGAATCATACATTAAATTACTACCCCCCGAAAATATTTATCCGTTATTCAAAGTAAATTGATATCTCTGCATTTTGAGCTATGTTCAATGTCTCAAACACGCTTCTTTAACCTATGTCCATTTTCTTAAACACGCGTTTTATGCTAAAAATATAAAGTTTCCCGACTTACATCAAATTAATTGATTACTACTTACAGAAGAACTTACTTGGTAGTTTTGAATGAAAACTTACCTCTCTGAAAGACAAACTTTTTGGCGTTATTTTTCATAGCTTAGGTAGGATGAAGAAAATGTTTTTCTCTCTTTTTTTTGCGACAGAAAAAAAAAATGGAATTTCTACGGGGTGCTCATGAATTACCCAAGGGACACATAAAAAAGCAGCTTAATCTACAGAACCATGAGGAAAAACAATTTTTTTATCTGATTGCATGAATATATTAATTTATATTTCCATTGATATTCACTTTTTATCGCATTTCAACTTGCTTTATGATCTTATGAGCCACACTAAATATTAATGAAACATCATACGCTTTCGAAAAAATCCATANTGGGGACAAAGTTTAAAATAGTGCTGTGTTAATATTTTTATCAGAAATTAAATATAAAATTGATTTTCTGAATTCTATATTTCAGTATTCTGAAATAAAAAACACGAATTTGTAAAAAAAATTTTTTTATTTCAGAAACAATTTTTTTCTTTTTTTAAATCAGCAGTGGGGATAAGTGAGGGAATGACATATTGGTATATTTTAATTACCTAAAATAAATAAAAATTGATAATTTTATTTTTATTCTTTTGTTAGCTTGCATTCCGAAGGACACTTTCCCTGAATTTTTTTTTTTTCGTAAGCTGTAAAACAAACGTAAAATATACTGGGGACATGAAAATGACTGTTTTTGTGAGAATGACCCATATATACTACCACTTTAAATATGAAAATAAAATCTTCCGGAAAATCCGGAAGAGTTGGCAGGTATGCATATGAATTAAGCGTCATCTGTGAATGGCGATATCTTAATATTTTCTTAAGTGAATTTCCCATTAATCTTTCTTCCATGGGTATGGGTATTTAGCACATAGCTTATTTTATATTAATTGAGCATTAATGTCAGTGATAATATGCAGATTTTTTACTGTTACCCAAAGAGCTTTTCTCCTTATTTTCGCTAGTTTTTTTAAAATTTCAATTAATATATATTACCAACATTAATTAAGCATCATTGTCGTCAATGATAATAAGACGACTTCTAACGGTTCTTCTAGACCAGTGTTTCCCAAAGTGTGGTACGCGTACCCCCAGGGGTACGGGAACAGTTTAGAAGGGGTACGCGTTGTTATGCGAAATATCTTGCAACATATGAAAATTTCAAAATATTTTATTTAAAAGCAGAACGAGCCATGAAAATTTACGATTAAGTATTTTTCTATTGGCTATTTTTTGCAGAGTTAACAGTTAATAATTAGTGCTGTCAACAGCCAGTTGTGATTTTGAACTNCAATAAAATCTGGCGAGCAAGCAGCTATTTAAACGATCAAACACTTTGCTTATTTGTGGCTTGAAGTTAGGCTCGCAGAAAATGCCGTTCATGGGTTAAATTTAGTAGGAATAACACAACCTGTGACGTAGGCTATAGTATACCCAATTAACTATTTTTTGTTCAAACAGAGCTATATGCTAGCAATATCACTGATGTTATCTCTAAAATATGTGAAAATTGAATCGCTAAATTTAAAACAATGGCTAACGCTTAACCATTCAGAAAATTCCATTCCGTTTTTCGCTCATCCTGCAAGAACAATTTGCAGCAGAATGTTCTAATGTTGACAGTGACCTTTCTCGTGCTTAAAACTATCTGTATGGCAAATTTCATCGCTTTCTATCGGATGGTTAAGGAGTCTATAAAGGACATACACACAGACACACATTCATTTTTATATATATAGGTAAGAAATGCATACTGTATTTTTGCAAAAGATCGACCACTTTTTTTCACTTGAAAATGGCTGAATTTTTCTTTTAATGGTTGAGTACGTCAAGCCTTGAACTCATATTTATTGAAAGCCAATAATAAATTTATATTTTTTTTAAGAAATAACAATCTATGTTTTACATTAGACTAAATGTATACAGTAATTTTCGAGCAATAAAATTGTTTTTCTTATGTTTGTTTACAAATTATTGAATTTTCGATTATTAGATTAAAAGTCGAGACCTGAATGTGTACTTAATCGAAATCGATTAAAAATTTAAATTATTTTAAAATAACAATGCGTGTTATACATTATTAAACCGATTGCGTACTGTAATTTTCGGGTTATAAATCGCCATATAAAGCTAATTTTCAAATTAGTTAATTTTTCGGGCTATAAGTCAGCTTATTTTACATGCAATAAGTCGACCGTCTATGTTCATTTTTAAATTGGTAAATTTTTCGCTTGCTGGGTATACAAGTCAAGTTCTAACTCCCACTAATTGAAAAACAATTATAAATTTCGTTATTTTTTTATAACAAAAATGTGTCTTATCATTATTAAATTTAGGAAACAGCATATTTTCTGAGTTGTAAGTCGACTTACACTGTTCATTTTCAAATTGGAAAAGTTTTC